TTACGTTGGTCGCCTTTGCTAGTAATGTGTGTTGCAAAACATGTTTTATTTTGACATATTTTGACTATATATGTAATTATATGATATTATATGTATATATTATATTGTATTATATTGGTTTGCTGTTGCTTGTTCTGGCTGCATGCTACCGGCTGTGAGCCCGAGATAGCTCGAGTGAATCTTGCTGGACCTTGCTGGGCTGACTGAAACAATCACAGGTTGCTTGCTCAGTGGTGACCTCAGGCAGTTGGGTTGGTGGGGGTCGGCCTAGGTCGCTTTTCGAAAAGTATGTGGGCCCGATTGAGGGAGATTGCAACGTGAGTGCTCCTTGGTAAATTAATCAGTGGAATGTGGAGGTCGAGTGTTTGCTGTTGAGGTGGCAATATGTTTAATTGATTTTAATTGAAAAGTGAGTCTTCGGCATTCTGCGACCTTCAGGACTGTGTTGGGACCATCCACTTTGTAAGTGCAGAGCACGCCCAGATGGCGGTTGAGAAGTACAACGGAGGCATATTGGAGATGAGCACCTTGGATTTTACATCATTTGACTGCCATGAAACTTGAGACTTTAAGAAATGTTTGTTGACCTTGTGCACTTAAGAGCAGCCCAAGCTTGAGAAGTAGCTCAACAATCAAGACTCCCAGCTAGCTACCCCTTTGCATTTGGGGTTAAGGCACGGAGCGGCGCAAGGGAGAAGAAGAACATATCACCTTGACGGTCTTTTGGCCGCAAGACCGTCAAAGACCATCAATGACGATCAACACCAAGTCACCGAAACCATCATGGAAGGGTGATGAAGTTTGATGAAGCCATCCCTGATTATCTATATAATATATACATGTGTATATAATAATCTGGCTCTCGCGCTACAGCGTTGCAAGTTCATACCAGTTTCATGTATTCCATAATTATGGCAGAAATTGTGGCCAACATGGAATTGGGACGAACTAGGATGTGCATGTAACCTGGTGATTCATCCTGATATTCATGCGGCACTCGTAGGGAGCAAATGGGAGCAAACGAAGCATGTCATCGAGACACCGAGTAGACTCAGACGAGACTCCTGGCTCGTAGAGCACATGAGGCGACTCCATGGGGACAAGATGCTGCCCACCTACGAGGAAGCATTGAGGAGCCTCTCGGCCAATTGAGGAGCTGGTTTCGTGTGTCGGTTTGGGCCGCGGCGGAGAACTCCGAAGATTCAAAAACCTGAAGCAAAATTCACTGTTCCCGAATTTGCTTGCTGCAGAAATCTGCAGAAGCAGTATGAAGCGGTTGTGACTGCGCAAACGAGTTTGATTACAAGTTGCCTCGAGGTTGTTGTGGCCACTGGCCGACTCCCAATTGAGGTGGGCAAAGGAAAGAGCTCACAGATGTACTTGCCAGATTGTAACATTAAGAACGGCAGAAGTCATTGTAGTATTGGATGCAATTAGATTCGATTGATTGGTTTCAGAGTGGCAGTGGGCCAACCGATGGTGTCCAGCATCTCAACCGTTTCATGAGAAACTGACTCATACCAAATCCATGAACCCGGACGAAACATTGAAGGCGCGGTGATGGGTGGCTGACTCTATTTCGTGTGAGCAAAGCCAAGGACGGATGTTCAACTGACACTGTCATGAAAGCAGGGCATACTGCCCTACAGGAGAGTTTAGACTCTGAAAGTCCTATAGGCTACTTGGTACATTGCGGAACTATAAGTAATTAATTACAGATATTACAGGTCTTGCTCCAATGTTGATCAAAAATCCACCTGACAGGAAGCCAAGCGGACCGAGCAACAAGAGAGCCATCAGGCTTTGTACCGTGGCTGCCGTGACCTTCGCAGGGGTTACCAGTGTTTGTGCTCTCATTGCCGCACAGGTGGATTACAAAGGAAGCATCCTCACAGTCGCTTGGCATTATCGCTACTAGGGGCTCCTGGCGCTACTAGTAACAAGAAGCTACTAGGGGCTCCTGGCATCGCTACTAGTAACAAGAAGCTACTAGGGCCTAGGGGCTCCTGGCCTTACTACTAGGAGCACGAAGCTACTAGGAAAGGATCATATGAAAGCAGCTCTCGAGCTTTGCTGGCTAGGTGCGGTTGGAAGAGGCTGTCCCTGACCAGGAAGGCATTGTGATTCAAGGTGGGCCAATGGTGCTTTGATCTTTGTTGGCCTGAGTGTTTTGACGGCTGCAAAAAATCATTGAGACAGGCTTTACATGCAACTTTCAAGGCCACTCAACAGACAGAAAAGCCGTCTTTGTTCTTGAAGCAGCTGGTCATGTCGTTTCAGATTGTCACAAGCATTTCGTGGGGTATGTGTGTTGGTGAACAACACGAGCCCGCAGCTCCGTGCGCCTTTTGGACGAGATGTCGTCCTGACGAGGCAGCTCAATATAGCTCGATTGCTAGTTTCAGTTGGCAGAGAACACTGGGCCGGCAATCAAGATAAGAACTAACGGTAACGCCGCTAGCTATAGTGCCATAACATGCCATAACCAGGCTGGTCGGTGTTCAAGCCGTCTATTCGCTGCCGTACTTCAAATGGCCGTGCAATGACAGCAGGTTGACAGTTTGTGGTTTCAAGTGGCTTCGCAGGGATATGGTGGCTAGTGGCTAGGCCAGGTTCAGGCCGAGCATCCAGATTGGTATTGAAACAACGCATATCATTCTTATGGCCATGTGTCATGGGAGCAATGGAAAAGAAGGTATACGCAGAGGAGGTGGGACTGGGGGGTCTGCCAGACGTGCCAGAGACCGTTTGGCTTGGCGCTAGCCCCCCGCTGCCGTGAGCCACATGCAACCGATCATTGCTTTGACTATAAAGCGTTGTCAGAATCGATGCACTTGGATCAAATAAGCTAGAAGGGCACTCGGACCCACAAGAACACGGGTGGCTACGAGCTGTTTTAGGTGCCGTGTATCGCACCAAGTCACAGCCACCGCTTGAGCTTCCTGGGTGTGGAACACAGTGGACAGAAATGGCAGCCTCACGACTGCAATACTAGCCTTTGGTGAAAAGAGCTGCTGCGGGCGTCCATTACAAGGAGTACCTTTCACATCCGTTCATCAGTTTTTGCACATCTCATACTTCGCCTTAGAAACGCCTTGGTTGTGAACGATTTACTTTAAGCTTGAGGCTTCGGCGTTTGCCTGAAGCCTTGGAGGAAGCTCGACGCGTTGGATGCTGAACAAAATGCTAAAAACAAACAATTACTGTAACCATTAAACATCATGATATAAACATATACAAACAACTGAAGAAACTGAAGAAGGCTAAGGGCACTTTGATGAGTTCACACAAGTTCATTGATTGCAAAATATATACTTACAGAACCTGAGTTTACCCGGGCTCCTCTTTGCAGCTTATGCACGAACCTTCCTCAAGGCCTTGGAGCTAGATCCTGGTCAGAGCATTGCCCGTTTGGCGCGGGCTGGGCCTCTCAGTAATCCAAAGGAAGGGACCGTGGATGCTTTCATAGACATTCTCCTAGACCAAGCCTGGCGTCTAAGGCGATGGCCATGCAGCAAAGTGGTGGGGAGCCTTGGAGCTTTGCTCAATGAGCTTGTGCCAGATCACATGGATTTCACCATTGCGTCGCAGTTGAGACGCAATTCAACCTATGAACCCAACATAACCCAACGGACAACCTAACGGACTCCTATGCTGCCGAAGTGTTCGACGACGGACGATTCGGCCCAGCCGAGGCCGTGCCAAAGATGCAGAAGTCGAACTGCGTGACCTCCTGCGTCTCGCTGCCCTGTGTTGCGATCCCAAACATTCCAGCTCAGGTGCGTGGACACGGGCAGCATTGAAGAATAACTGACTACATCTGACTACTATGTCACTATGTCATTTCTCACACCCTGCATGAGTGAAGGAGACCACTGCCCACCAACACCTGGGAGTCTTGAGCTGTTGTAGTTACGTTTGGACAGGAGCAAGTGTCCGGAGACGTATCCCAGTTGTGCCCTTTAAAGTTGAGATTCCACCAGGGCGAAATCCTCAAGACAGTGAAGTGTGCGTCCTGTCGGGGTGCTCAGATGTCAATTTCAATAGCCTCAATGCGGTGATGTTCAAGACCCCAGAACTTCACTGTAGTTCTCACGTAGGAGCAAAGGACGCTACTAGGAACAAGTGCATCGCTTCTAGTAACAAGTGCCTTACTAGTAGTAACAAGAAGCTACTAGGGGCTCCTGGCCTTACTAGGAGCGATCGGACGCTACTAGGAACAAACGATCCTCGCCATTTTCCCTTGAAGATTGTGGTGACAGTTTCTTCTGCAAGACCGGGGTATTATCCCCATGTCACCCCAGCCCCGCGGCTTCCACTTCCTCAGGCTCGGCTACTTGCAGCTTTGCTCCGGCAACTCAAGCGTTGGAAGCCCCACCAGAGTAGCTTCAAGAGATCGGAAGGATGGCCCTATCCATGCCTGATGTCATTCCTCATTCATGTAGTGGACCTGCTCACGGTTTCGGTATTCCCACGCAAGGTGACAATTTGTGAACTTGGAGCCTTGGAGCTGAAAACTTCCGTTGATTGTGGACACAAGCATGCTCATACTTGTCTTTGGGATTGGGTACGAACCCAGGCAGCAGTCAGCAGCCACAGACAATCAAACATCTATATTATCAATATCCTTTAAGTTGGCGAATAGCGTAAACTGCATCTTCAAAGTATTGAGAGTATCTTCCAACTTTATGAAGGTTCGCAGCATTGAGTCAACATTAAAAAGCAGCCGCCCAGCAACCGCAGAATTTTGCATGTTTACCCTTATTCAGACAATGACCTCCAATCCTGCTTCCCAGAGTGCAATCAAGAAAGTCAAATCTTCGGGCGACCTGTAGAGAGCTCTTGAGGTGGGTCTCAATTCAAAGGTTCAAAGAACTGACCTTTCAATGCGTTTGGGGGGCTAAAGCATGGACAATCGCGGACCCCCAATCACATTCCAACATAATTGTTGAAGCTTGGCAGCTTGATGCCACTTGACGCTATGGTGCCGCAGCTAAGCCATGACAGGCGGGTATGGACTTGTGCGTGTTGCCATGGCGTGGAGTACCCACGAATGAAACTTAAAACTACGGAAGATGTATGAAGATGTGCAGAAGACAGAGGTGAAACGATTCCACCTGGCAGAGGCGAAGAGTGCGCAGCTTTGAGCCTCTTGGGAAGAACTTACAAGGATTTACAAGGTCTATATATCAAGGTCTTATGAGAAATCCAAAGACTGTTTGACCTACATTCATCGCTTTTCTGGCCGACCAGAGGTTGTCATCATGCTCGGTGTGGCTTCGATGCTTTCACGTGTTGAGGCTATTGCTCCGATGTCTTACGGGGCTTGGCTTGCAGAGAACTGCCCAAGCCACCAGAGCTCCAACATGGAGGCAGATGTTGCTGGTTTTGCTTGGCTTGACGTTTCTTCATGTTTCTCCCATTTCACCTCTAGAAGGCGGTTCTTCACATTTTTCTAGCTTTTAAAGACACAGCTTGTAATATGGAGGCTGAGAGCCTGGCGCGTTCTTGCTGTGTTTTCAGATAAACTCAACACAAGCCGGCGACCTGCATCAGGGGCGTCGTTGCAACGCTGGCAGCTATGGCAAGAAGAAAGCCACAAGCTTTGGCAGGACTGGGGCTGCCATATTGAACTGACACAATGTCGCACTATGTCGCCAATGTGTCCTTTCTCTTCACCATAGAATCATACGAGTTTCCGGGAGGTTTGGAATGCAGAAATTCGGATGCACAATCTAGCCTTTACCATTAACTTTTTCCCGAATGCGTAGCGAAGGGTTCCCGTTTATAGTTGGGGGTCTGGGGGTTGGAGCTGTGTTTGCATGGCTTGCGTCGTGTCGTCGTTTGTCGTCGTCTCTCGTCGTCGTGTCGTCGTCGTCGCGTCTCAAATTCGCTGCCATTCGGGGAAGCTTTTGCAAGTGACTTTGCATGGATGTGTCACGTGTCAGTTCGCGCCGCTATTCCATTGTGATTTGCATGACAATGACATGTCGCGCAAGAAACGTGATGCATTTCGCTGCACAGGCGCAGCGTTTTGTGAGATCCGCAGATTGCTGCGCAGCTCCATTGGGATTAGCGTTTGGAGAGTCGTGTTTTTGGGGTGTTGGATGTGGCTGTGCCATTGGGATTTGCGTTTCAGGGTGTGGCATCCAAGCTCGGTTTTCGTGACAAGTCTCAGCTGAAATGGCGATTTTGGTGGATGGGAGTGTGCTCAGAACGGGTCAAAATCATTCCAAACGTGTGGTGCGGTGCAAATTTTGTTGAAGCCCACATGAGATGATATTGTCACTTTTCGTGGCAGGCGCAGGACTTTGTGCGGGCTTTGAAGCGTGGAAGCGTGATTCTCGTGGCAGGCGCAGGGAATCGTGAGGTTGCGAGGTGTGACGGAGGTGACATTTCGTGGCAGGCGCAGTACTTTGTGCGCGTTAGACTGCGTTAGACGTGTGGACGCGGAAAGATTCGTGGCAGGCGCAGGGAATCGTGAGGTTGTGAGTTGTGGTAGAGGTGAATGTCGCTGTCACATTGGGATTGGCGTGTGAGCGGATGTTGTTTGGGGCTGGAATCGCGAAACTGCTTGGCAGGGCTGCGTGATGTGTGTGCTCCGATGGGTGTTTCCGCTTGACTTTTGGAGGAAGTCTCGTGCGAAACGCTCGTTTTGCAGACTTTGACGCGTGAGTTTTTGAGGAAGTCTCGTACGAAACGCTCGTTTTGGAGACTTGACGCGCAACCCTCTGCGGAGATCGCGCGTGTCGGGTGTGCGAAATGCAGGCGAGAGTGCGATTTGTCCCATGCGCGCGCAACCCTCTGCGGAGATCGTGCGTGTCGAGTGCGCGAAATGCAGGCGAGAGTGCGATTTGTCCCATGCGCGCGCAACCCTGTGGGGAGATCGTGCGTGTCGATGCGCGAAATGCAGGCGAGAGTGCGATTTGTCCGGTGCCCGCACCACCCTCTGCGGAGATCGTGCGTGTCGAGTGCGCGAAATGCAGGCGAGAGTGCGATTTGTCCGGTGCCCGCGCAACCCTCTGCGGAGATCGTGCGTGTCGAGCGCGCGAAATGCAGGCGAGCACTGGCGACTTTGTAGTACAACTTTAGTACGCGGAGTATCTGGCGAACTGGAAGATGACAACTGGTGACTTGGTAGTACAACTTTAGTACGCGGAGCAATCTGTGGAGCTGGAAGCTGAGAACTGGCGACTTTGTAGTACAACTTTAGTGCGGAGCAATTGTGTGGAGCTGGAAGCTGAGAACAGGCGACCTTGTAGTACAACTTTAGTACGCGGAGTATCTGGGGAGCTGGAAGAGTGTCCCACAAGAGTGTCCCGCAACAGTGTCCCACTAGAGTGTCTCACAAGAGTGTCCCTTAACAGTGTCCTACAGGAGTTTCCTACAAGAGTGTCCTACAAGAGTGTCCCACAAGAGTGTCCCACAAGAGTGTTCAACAGAGTGCTCCACAAGAGTGTCCTATAAGAGTGTCCCACAAGAGTGTCCTACAAGAGTGTCCCACCAGAGTTTCCTACAAGAGTGACCCACAAGAGTGTCCTACAAGAGTGTCCTACAAGAGTGTCCCACAAGAGTGTCCTACAAGAGTGTCCCACAAGAGTGTCCCACAAGAGTGTCCTATAAGAGTGTCCCACAAGAGTGTCCTACAAGAGTGACCCACAAGAGTGTCCTACAAGAGTGTCCTACAAGAGTGTCCCACGAGAGTGTTCAAGAGTGTCCCGCAACAGTGTCCCACTAGAGTGTCTCACAAGAGTGTCCCTTAAGAGTGTCCTACAGGAGTTTCCTACAAGAGTGTCCTACAAGAGTGTCCCACAAGAGTGTCCCACAAGAGTGTTCCACAAGAGTGTCCTATAAGAGTGTTCCACAAGAGTGTCCTATAAGAGTGTCCCACAAGAGTATCCCACAAGAGTGTCCTACAAGAGTGTCCCACAAGAGTGTCCCACAAGAGTGTCCTACAAGAGTGTCCCACAAGAGTTTCCTACAAGAGTGTCCCACAAGAGTGTCCTGCAAGTGACCCACAAGAGTGTCTCACAAGAGAGCGCCGCAAGAGTGTCCTACAAGAGTGTCCTACAAGAGTGTCCCACAAGAGTGTTCCACAAGAGTGTCCTATAAGAGTGTCCCACAAGAGTGTCCTACAAGAGTGTCCCACAAGAGTGTCCCACAAGAGTGCCCCACAAGAGTGTCCCACAAGAGTGTCCCACAAGAGTGTCCCACAAGCGTGTCCTACAAGAGTGTCCCACAAGAGTTTCCTACAAGAGTGTCCCACAAGAGTGTCCCACAACAGTTTCCTACAAGAGTGTCCCGTAAGAGTGTCCGACAAAAGTATCCCACAAGATTGTCCTACAAGAGTGTCCCACAAGAGTGTCCCACAAGAGTTTCCTACAAGAGTGACCCACAAGAGTTTCCTACAAGAGTGTCCCACAAGAGTGTCTCCCAATAGTTTCCTACAAGAGTGTCCCTTAAGAGTGTCCGACAAGAGTATCCCACAAGATTGTCCCACAAGAGTGTCCTACAAGAGTGTCCCACAACAGTTTCCTACAAGAGTGTCCAACAAGAGTGTCCCACAAGAGTTTCCTACAAGAGTGACCCACAAGAGTATCCCACAAGATTGTCCCACAAGAGTGTCCTACAAGAGTGTCCCACAAGAGTTTCCTACAAGAGTGTCCAACAAGAGTGTCCCACAAGAGTGTCCCACAAGAGTTTCCTACAAGAGTGACCCACAAGAGTGTCCTACAAGAGTGTCCTACAAGAGTGTCCCAGAAGAGTGTCCCACAAGAGTGTCCTACAAGAGTGTCGTTTGGACATATGGAGTTTTTCGAACGTGTTTGCATTCGGGTTCGTGTGTTCCATCTTGTTTACTTCCCCCTTCTTACCTTGGTCCATTCCGTCCAATGTTAGCTTTTGTTCACCTTGTTTGGCCATACCACGTTCTTTTGCTTGCCTTCCTTGGCCTCATTTTGCCTCACCTCAGCTTCATCTCTACCCCCTCGACTTGAAATTGAGCTTTTCCTTTTCACATGGTCATAGCGCCCGACCAATGCTCACAACCAATAATGATATACTGGAGGCAAGTGACTGAGGAGTTAGAAAACATATGCCGCGGTTTTGTAACTCCTCAGTCATCAGCATTGGGAAATGATCAGGAGAGGTAGCTAAGAGCTGTCTATACCTACCTCCGACAATCATCAAACATCCATCGAAATTGAACGTTTTAAAAAGTTCTGATTTCGACTATTTTTTTTTTGGCAGTCCTATCTCATCTGCTTGCCCTGTTTTTGCCAATTTTCAGGTGGCACATGACTGAGGAGTTAACCTACCATAACTCCAATAACATTAGCAGCCCTAACTCCTCAGTCACTTGCCCCCAGTATAGTGTAATCTTCGTCGAGACGCTGCGGATCACAGTTCTCAAATCATGACAAACCAACAATCACAACCCCGCCTCTTGCTCCCACCTCTCTCAAGTTTATGCGTTGGACTCCTTTGAGACCAAACAACCCAACACTCACAAAAAAGACTCTCTAGCATCCTAAGTCAAGTTGCTATGCAATCCCTAACAATTCAAGAATGGGCGAAAATTTTCTCCCCAGCAGTTGGCTTGGGCTGGTAGCTGAACACTCTCCATAGTGAAGCGATGAGACTGTGTCCTGATTTGATTGGGCAAGAACTGTGTATCACCACACCTTTCAGGATTACCTGTCACTACGGCGGCGGCACCTTGGTTTTGCACCATTGGCAGGCGAGATAATTTTTCTTACGAGAATGGGTAGTGTGAATGATGCCTTGGCACAGGCAGATCTAGATTAGCTCTGGCAGGTTTTCCGGAACGATCAGCACAAGTGTTGGTGCTCATTGAGATGCGAGCACATCAGGTCTGAGGATTGCGAATTTTTGAATGTTTTCCACAGCTCAATTGTCTCTTCCCGTTTTCCTGATAAATGTCGTGCAGGACTTGGACATAGTGCTTCGGCAGTCGCTGTCCACGTTGCATGGTGACTTGACCGAACAAATTCCGAGCATGTTTGGTCGGGATAATTGTGTTTTTGGAAAAACTGTAGGTTGTTCTTATGCCGCCAGTTTTGCTGCGAACAGCAAGCACGTTCATTTTTTTTTCGACCTGGAAGATGGCAAGGCTCAAGGCGATTTCTCACCGATTTTGGCTTTGCTGGTCACCATGCCATGGCTTTGGTTGACGCAGAGGGCCAAGTGGCCCAAGTTGGTAGCAAGGGTTATTGGCTGGATGCCTCTGACTTTGTAGTCTTGGGGGACGATCATGATGAGGACATTTTGGAGGTTGGACCGCACACCTTCCCTCGAGACTGGCCCGACGTCTACCAAGAAAGCCGCACATTACGGGCCTTGTTGAAGCCCAAAGGCCCTTGTGCCGCAAGACGAGTGAGTGTTGTGCCAGAACCTGATGAAGTGCTGGATGGCTTGGAAGTGAAATTTCTGCAAAGCTATTCAAATGCACGACAGGCACAAGAAATGGCTCAATTGAAGATTGTTGAAGGTTGGGCAATTTACGACCTCCTTGACGATGTCACTGGTGCGGCTTTTGTGGCTGAGCGTTATTGGTGGAATGAGACAGAAGACGGGACATGGGTCGACTACTCTCCACGTCCCGAGAACATGGAGCAGATGCTGCTGGCAGAAGCCACATTTCCAGTCGGGCCCAAGGAGTCATCTCCCCTCACTGCAGATCAGGAGGCAATTGGACAGCATTTGTTTCCAGATTTGTTGAGATAGTTTTTGACTTAGATCCTGTCTGTACTGTGGTCATTGTGTCCAAGAAGGCCATATGCGTGGGAAGCATTCCCCAACATAAACTTTCTGTTGGGGTCCTCATACTACTTTGTGATGGGTCAGGCTCAGCTTACAACTAAGGTTGATGTTGCGCTTCCCACGGGCACAGCAGACAGGTGTGCGCGTGATTCGCCTCAGCGCGCCTTTGATTCCGCCTGCTGGTCCTGCATCACCCTTCTTCGGTCCAGCCAGCCGAGTCGAAGAAGAGCGAAAGTGCGAAGTACACGAGACTGCAGAAGGCTTCACAGCTCCAGCCAAGGCAGAAATGTCAGAAAGGGATACCCAGCCACATGGCGAAGCTGAGGACCAACCACATGCAGAAGTTGAGGAGATAGATGCAAAGGGCACTGCTCAAGATCCAGTGCCCAAAGAGGAACCCACTTGGGCAAAGATGACTAAACACTCAGTGGGTTGGTGGGTGTTTTCCTGCATGCGTACTCAAGCCAGTAGCATGTACATTGGCGTGTATGTGCGTGTGTGTGTGTGACAATGTATGACAATGGGTTTTCTTGCAAACGCATGTAAATGCAGGGAATGAAAAATGAGAGGCTTGTCACGATCATGTGCTAGCTGGCCTTTCTGCTCAGATAAAAGGTCTTTTCCTGCAATAAAGGTGTCGCAGGTTAGACTCATCGGTCAGGAGCCACCATTGACCGCGGATGAAGCTCGTGCCCTAGCACGGCGAGTGCGTGAAAAGGAGGGCTCAGCCTTGGAAGAAGCGGAATCTCGCTTGGATGAGGCCGTGGCGTCTTTGGTTGCACTAACAACCTGTTCTGTTGTGCTTTTTGAGCATTGGCCGGAAGAATGGACCTCCAGTCTGCCCATGTCAGCCCCAAATGTCTTGACTGACACTGAAGCCAAAGGTCTGCTGCTGTAACAATGCGCGACAATATGACAATATGGGTATAGGTCATTGATGCTTTCGAAGTCAAAATTCCTCCAGAAATGAACGGTTTTTGTTACTTTGGGTAAACTTACTCGCGCAATCTCATTCATCCAAGGGCCAACATCAAATGCATACTCAATGACTTGTGCGACGAAAAAACATCGCCGACACAGCTCTCACCTATGTATACAATGTAGGCCTTAGTGCAAAAGCAGAGCAGATGTTCGGGCTCCCAACGCCTTCAGTAGTGCGGCATTTCATTCGGAGGCAAGTGGAAGTCACGAAGCAGTGATGTTTGGGAGCGTGTCGAATCAATAGTTCCCTCATGTTCCTCATGGGTGACTACTAAATAGCCCCAGGACATATGTGTCCTTCAGCATGACTGTTTTTGCACTTGTTATGCCTCAGAAACGATGGACACCAATAAACATCAACACAAATACGTTTTACATCCAGAAGTAAGGGGTATGCCCAATGAAGACAAATCCTCAATGCTATGCAGTGGATTTGCGAAACGTTTATTTGTTGGGCCTGTTGCATTTTGGTGTGTGAAGGTAAGCCATTGAACAGTTGAACCATAATTCTTGAACATGGGTCCAGAACAGGCTAAGCATGTGCTGAAAATGCATGTGTGTGGTCATTTGGGGGAGCATGGGGAGCAAGCTATAACCCGCCTCGCCTCCGCCCAGTCCTGCGACCGCTTGATCACCACGGGGATGTCTGGCGCCTTGGTCCCCCAGCTTCAGGGTCCACGCAGCATGGAGGCCTTGACACTTTTGGCGAGGCTGGGGAAGCAATCCATGGCAATGCCGGCACCAGGAGCGGGTTGGCGGTCAGGTTTGTTTCACCGGCCTTTGTGTTTGCAGTTGGGGTGGCATTCACCCCTCAATCCTATGCATGTAGCCTGGAGCTGGAGAATGGAACAACATGGAAAAACTATTTGGAGTGAATGGTTGTCAATAACCGCCATGGCAGCGCTGGAAATGTCATGTGTGTTCCTGCGAAGTTGTTTCGTTGAATCAACATTGTTGTTGGGCCCAAGAGACCCCACCTGTTTGCCAAATTGCTAGCAGCTAGCATGATTAAACAACACAATAAAGTCAATAGATTGTCAACAGAGCTAATAGACTTAGAATGCCTAGAGCCTTTGGCTGCAGGAGGGCCTTTGCACCTACGCATGGCCGAGGCATTAATGTCTGCTGATGGCTTACCACCACTAGTGGGTTTGCTCTCTAAGGAAATGAAGAACGCTTGCCTAGCAGCCCGCGCCCTTGGCTATATTTGTTTTCGCAACCGTGCCGCACAGCTTCGTGCTGCCAGGGCTGGAGCAGTTCGTGGCCTAGTTCGACTTGTTGGCCGTCGAGCGGAGGGAAACGTGACAGATGCCACCTATGCGCTGTGGAACTTACTTGTGGGTCAAAAGGAGCATGCAACCATGGCCTTTCGGGAAGGAGCTGCTGCCACCCTCCTTCCCATCATCACCCTAGGAAGCGACAAAGAAGTATTGCTAAATGCCTTGGGCTGCCTCACTTCTCTACTTGTAGCAGGAGGTGCTCAAGATGCCTTGGGCGCTAATGGTGCGGTGGAGGCCCTTTGCACTTTGCTGGACGATGGCTTTGCTCTTCCATTACGAGAGCAGGCGGCCTCCGCCTTGGCCAACCTTTTGAGTGGCCACCGCGAGAATTGCAGAAAGGCTGCCTACCAAGGTGCCGCACTGCAACGATTGATGCGTTTGTTGCAGGTGTCTGTGGAAGAGCACCAGGTGCGGTTGGCCGAGAATGCCTCGGCGGCCTTGGCCAACTTAGTAGGTACAACGGGGCCGATGATGGCACAAGATACAATTGATGGTGGCATTTTGGATGTGGTTGCGGACTTGTTGGAGATGACACCCCGACCAGTCCAGGTCTTTGGCTTACTGGCAAACTTGTCATGTCAATTGCCAGGCCTTTCCCAAAGAATCTACCAGCTAACCCCGATCCAGAAGTTGGTAAATGTGCTCAAGCCTGGTGAAGAACAACCTCCCCGCGCTTGCTTGGCAGCCCTGGCACTTGCAGCTAACTTGGCTTCAATTGGGCCTGCCAAAGCCAGGCTGTTGAGAGCTGGAATACTGAAACCCACCGCTACGATCATTGAGAGTTCGGTGGATCCCGCACTGAAAGAGCATGCCTCCATCACCTTGGCCAACTTGTTGGAGAACAGTCCTGAGTCCGTCGCAAAGGTCTTTTTGGAGCTGCCCGACTTGCCTCGAAGGTTGGCCTTTTTGCTCAACAAGAAGTCAGGCCCTTCAAACCCTTCAGGCCGTAGGCCAGGCCCTGTGCAGACACCGTTGCCAGGCCCTGTGAGGGAGCATCTCACTCGAGCTTTGGCACTGCTAGCATCACGGGAGGCCTCCAGGGTTTCCGTCAAGGAGTCCGGGGCACCGGAAGCCTTGTGGTCCTTGCTTGATGACACAGTTTTGGCCAAAGGTGCTTCCATGGGCCTATTGAATTTAGCCTTGGTGGCCAAGGACCGTGACAAGCTGCTGAAGAAAAACCTGATTTCGAAGCTGGTACGTTTGTTGCCAGATCGAGATGCCGGACTTTTCGCCGCTGGTGCCTTGGCAAATTTGACCGCCGGCTCCAAAACAGCTGCCAAGCAGGCAGCTGAAGCCGGATCTGTGAGGCTCCTTGTTGCTTTAATGCAACGGCTCTGCGATGAGTTGGATGTCACTGGACAAAATGTAGAGATCCTGGGTGCTGTTGACACTGATGCAGCCGCTTGGGTGCTTGGGGCTTTGGCTCATATCGTGGAGTTGGTTGACACAGCAGAGGTGCGGCGACAGGCTGCAGAGGCATTGCCTGGCATGTGTCGACTCCTGCGTGTGGGCGAGAAGAGCGTCACTGATCTAGCAATCTTTGCTTTGACAGCTATGTCCAAGGGAGGAGATTTGAGAGAGGTTTTCTTGGAGCAGGGCATGGAGCCCAGGCTCAGAGAGCTAACTCTGGAGATGGAAGGCCCTTTAAAAGAGAAGGCCACCATGCTTCATCGATGCTGCTTAAAAAGCAGGTGAGACACTTGGTGACAGTTTGTGGCTTTGCCGAAGAAGCTCCCAGCCGCGCGAGCCATCCGATTGGAAAAGTTGTACGGTGCGCGTTGGTGCCGGTGCTATCACTATTCACCACCGGCTTGCAATTATATAGTACATAAATAGTATTAAATAGTACATAACAGTTCTATACAATTCTCCTTTTTTTCTTCCAGCGATTGAGGCCAATGGGCGATTCTTCTTGTCTGTGGAGAGAAGAACCGGTCTTTTGTCGAGGAGGTCGTAAGGAGATTGGGCTTCAATACCTTTTTTGGGTTTGAAGCGGCCTTTGTTGAGAGAAGAAGGATTGATGATATCCCGCCGGTTCATGCTGTGTTCCTGGCGGGCCCAGGAACTGGTCTTTCGTCCACCTCATGTGTTTGCCGCGGGAGGATCTCAGCCGCCAGGCATATGCCAACTTCCGGCGCTCTCAGGCGAGCTATGTTCACAGAGTTGCTGCATAGACACATGAGGGGTCAAGTCAGGACTATCAGAGACTTAGAGAGGAAAAAGAGAGCGAGAGAGTTAGAGACAGACAGCCTGAGAGAAGCAATTGAAGTTTAATGAAAATGAACGAGTCAATCAGGATGTTGCGAACATGAATCGACGAGTGAAAACTAGACGACGAGTGGCCCGAAAGCATTTTTCATCACGTAGGAAGTCAGAGTGTGAGTTATCTGTTAGTGTTCAGTGTGAAGTGTTAAGTCGAGTGAGTTGAGGCAGTGTGTGGGTCTTTGTGTGTGTGTATCTATGTCTGTGTGTGTGTATGAGTCTCTGTCTGTGTGTGTGTGTCCGAGTAAGTTGAGGCAGTGTGTGGGTCTCTGTGTGTGATGTGTGTGTATGAGTCCCTGTCTGTGTGGGTCTCTGCTCCCCAGGTCCTCCGCATCTAAAGTTTTACTACGAAGTCGCCAGTTCTCATCTTCCAGCTCCCCAGCTACTCCGCATACTACAAGTGTACTACAAAGTTGCCAGTACTCCTCTTCCAGCTCCCCAGATACTCCGCGTGCTAAAGCTGCACTACAAAGTCGCCAGTTCTCATCGTCCAGCTCCCCAGATACTCTGCGTACTAAAGTTCTACTACAAAGTCGCCAGTTCTCAGCTTCCAGCTCCACAGATTGCTCCGCGTACTAAAGTTGTACTACCAAGTCGCCAGTTCTCATCTTCCAGCTCCGCAGATACTCCGCGTACTAAAGTTGTACTACCCAGTCGCCAGTTCTCATCTTCCAGCTCCCCAGATACTCCCTGTACTAAAGTTGTATTACAAAGTCGCCAGTTCTCATCTTCCTCATCTTGCAGCTCCCCCGATACCCTGCGTACTCAAGTTGTACTACAACGTCGCCAGTTCTCAGCTTCCAGCTCCACAGATTGCGTGCTGGCTAACGTTGTACTGGCGAGTCGCCAGTTCTCAGCTTCCAGCTCCACAGATTGCTCCGCGTACTAAAGTTGTACTACCAAGTCGCCAGTTCTCATCTTCCAGCTCCCCAGATGCTCCGCGTACTAAAGTTGTACTACAAAGTCGCCAGTTCTCAGCTTCCCGCTCCACAGATTGCTCCGCGCACTAAAGTTGTACTACAAAGTCGCCAGTTCTCAGCTTCCAGCTCCACAGATTGCGTGCTGGCTAACGTTGTAGTTCTCAGCTTCCCGCTCCACAGATTGCTCCGCGTACTAAAGTTGTACTACAAAGTCGCCAGTTCTCAGCTTCCAGCTCCACAGATTGCTCCGTGTACTAAAGTTGTACTACCAAGTCGCCAGTTCTCATCTTCCAGCTCCCCAGATACTCCGCGTACTAAATGTTGTACTACCAAGTCGCCAGTTCTCATCTTCCAGCTCGCCAGATACTCCCTGTACTAAAGTTGTACTACAAAGTCGCAGCTTCCAGCTCCACAGATTACTCCGCGTACTAACGTTGTACTGGCGAGTCGCCAGTTCTCAGCTCCACAGATTGCTCCGCGTACTAAAGTTGTACTAGCAAATCGCCAGTTCTCATCTTCCAGCTCCCCAAATCGCACTCTCGCCTGCACTTCGCGCACTCGACACGCGCGATCTCCGCAGAGGGTTGCGCGCGGACCGGACAGATCGCACTCTCGCCTGCATTTCGCGCACTGGACACGCACGATCTCCGCAGAGGGTTGCGCGGGCACCGGACAAATCGCACTCTCGCCTGCATTTCGCGCACTCGACACGATCTCCGCAGAGGGCTGCGCGGGCATGGGACAAATCGCACTCTCGCCTGCATTTCGCGCACACGACACGCACGATCTCCGCAGAGGGCTGCATTTTCGGTTGACGCTGTTCGTCCCACCCTCCGCCTTTAAGAGAGAATTGATAAAGTGGGTGAATGCCTTTTCATTACCATACTCATACTTGCATCCTTGCACTGGGATTGCACTTACACTTGCATACTTGCCCTTGGATGTTTTTTACCATTACACTGGGATCCGGGATACGTATAGACGTGTCAGTGTTCAAGTGTCAGTGTGGAAGCGTAAGTGTTCAAGTGTAAGTGTAGAGATGTCAGTGTGTGTAAGTCGAAGTGTCAGTGTTCAAGGGACTTTCCGGAAGAACCCTTCGGAAAGCTTTCGGGAAAAAAACCAAGGAGTTGCTGGCTCAGCTCAAGGCCATTGGAGCTGAAGTGGTGTTATTTCTGGAAGCTTGGTCAAGTTGGAGCGGAGGACTTGAATGTCCCACTTGTGCATTGGTATTGTCAATGTTGTCACATTTCTGAGCCAACTATGAGTCGATTCCTCCCACTGGTGGAAGGAAAGGGATCTATACAGATATTATGATATTATACGGACGTATATAATATATATGTATACAGTAAGAGGTTGATATAAGCGGACAACTTGAAAGAAAATAGAACTTGCGCGATTCCGCAACTATTTGAACTACATCAACGGGGCAATCCGGTGCGATGCCGCCAACTTAGGAATGTGATGCGGTGTTGCTTCGCCCTGGTGTGGAACGCTTTCTTCACTTCGACTTGGTTGGAGCACCATGGGCCTGGGCCAAGTCTCAGGACGCGGGACAAATCTCTTGTGAATGTGTGTCGAGAACGCCGCAAAGAATTCACAACAAAAACCTGCTGGATGAAGTACCCTAGAGCAGTTTCGCTAAAGTGGTGGCCCAATTTGGAGAAACCACGTTCGCTGTTTTGTGTTTGTGAACCGGCGGCTGTTCGCCGGTGCCATGCCATTATGCCAAAAGAAAGCTTGATTCAGACATGGAAAGTGATGCGATTCCCAAGTCTTTGGTGCTTTCAATTGGGGGCAAGTTCTCAAAATCGTGATCCAGTAAATCTTCAGAGCGTATATAATTGTGCCTCCACTCGCGAGGATGCCGCTGTTGGGAATGGCGGCCTGTGTGTGAGGCCTGAGTCCTCACGACAAATCTCCAAAGCTCCTGCTCAGGCTGTTGAGAAACAGCAGGCTCACAGTATGATGCACCTGAATCCATAAACGCGGATGCAAAATATTGATTTATAATGATTTATAGAGGGAGTTAAATAGAAGGATTGCGAGCCAGTCTCATACTTGTTGCTGTTGCTGTCTCCTCCCCCAGGCTGAAACAGCTTGCATGGACCACCGGATGCTTTCCTCATTCTTCGTGGAACTCTCATGTGAGGCGTTTGGACTTCATGTGTGAGGCACTTCGCTGCATGGGGGCCTCCCACTTGGGTGAGGTGGAGGATTCCTGGTGGCCAAGAAATGTTCCTTGGACCGGAAGATGTGGAGCGTGCAGAGCACCCGAAACATGCCAATCAAGATTTAATCTTTTTGGATCTTTTTGGACTTGTACATGCCACGTGTTTCTTTCGGTAACAAGGCTCAGGGCTCAACCAATGCTTCACTCATTTGCAAATCGACATAAAGCTCCTCATATCGCCCCGTCCTGCGAGTGAGTGCTCAAGTCTGAGCCTTCAAAGCATGTAAAATGAAGAGAAGAGGGAGGGAGGGAGCGAGAGAGCGAGAGGAGAGAGAGAGAGAGAGAGAGAGGATCTCCGAATGAACATAGTGAGATGTGTGTGGTTTTGCGGAAAGGTGATGTGAAAATTGCCCGTTGCGTGCTTCTGCGACCCTTCGGCGTGTATTTGGTTATTGTTTTGAACCAAGGCTTTTCATCTACATGGACCCCACACCCACTCCATGCCACACCAGGGCATGAGCACATGCCAGAACGTGGGCACATGGTCTCCAGGCATATTCTCTAAGCTCGGTTCAAGGATGCTTGTTTGATGTGCTTTCATGCTTTTAACATGTTTGCCCGTCATAGTCCGTACTCCTGAGCAAATGCTGAGCGCCTACGCATCACATAAGTTCAAGCATCTTCAGCATCTTCAAACTCTTTCCCCTTGAGAGCTCGATCGTGTTTTGCTCATCTTGTGAAGACCGGGCATGAACATCCCCATACCGTTCAGGCTGAACCCTCAGACCATTTTCAATCTGAATTTCTGTCACATTTGCCGTTCCCCTGGCCGCTCCAAAGACTCCTGTTTGGCCAACGAGCGCCGGGTGGTGCGAATGGCCAAGCGACGTACCCCGCTTCGCCTGCAGATGGCCGACCTGCCAGCGAGTCGAGCAAAATACATGTAGGCAGAGGTCATGCCCAGGAGTGCTGAGAGGGCACCTTGTCACAAGGCACCTGTTTCGAATTTCAACGAACAGTTTGGCGCCAGGCATGGTGAATGGTGAGGATGTGATGATGGGTCTTCGGCCCAGACATCACACTCAAAGAAACGCAGCTTTCCAAAGAAGTGGTAAGTGGAGGATCGCTTCCTCCAGAATCCGACATTCACCAATGGTGGAGATGAAGCTAGCAGCTAGCCTTTCATGGCACCTGTGCAAACTATGTTTCCTTTCCCATGGAGGGCTGTTCATTCCAGGACTTGGCTGGTGCAGGTTTGTCGGTGGTGCATTGCATTGCATGGCGCATGAGAGATGTATATACGCAGAGGGTTATCTCAAGGCTTTTGCAACGAAGGTTCCATGTTGGTTGGTGCTTGTTTTGATCAGAGATGAACCTATGAAACATGTGCGAGATGTCATGGTGGCCTTTGATTCAGCATGTGTGCTTCTGCTGCTCTCGGGAATCAGAGCCTTCAACTGTCAGATTCTGGCGTCAACTCTGGCAACACCCAGAGTGCACCGCCTCCACAGCCAAAACCCAAACCACCCACGGCGAGCGAGGCCAAACCAAAAGAGCAATCGAAGTTCTTGAACCGACTAGCGGCACACAGGGAAAAGCATTCAAAGTTAGGAGCCATGTGTGCTCCATTGTTGGTTCAGGTTGACAGTTGACCAAAATGCACCTTGAAAAGGCATGAAAACGCGCACACACACAGACAACTTGAGTTTGCTCATGTTTGCTCCACTTGCCACGCAATTGTGGTACCAGAATTGTGCAGTTGCCAAAAAAGTTGGCTGAAACTTGATCAGGGTAGTTTTGTTATTTGTATCACAAACCCGATAGAGTACAGTAGTCTTCAAGGAAGGTTTTGTCCAGAAGTTGCTTAAGGAAGACATTGGCTTTGCGCAAGCAGCTTTGCAGATGGGGTCTCAAGTCCCAAGATGGAAGTTGGCAGCGGAGTTTTCCGTGCCTCGGACTGAGATGGCATCGACAAGTGCGTTGTGTGTGTTTTAGCGAGTTTGACTATTGCACGTGGTGGGAGAGAAAAAACACCCCACGGGCTTGAGAAGTTTGGGATCAGCTCGATACATCAGACAAATAGAACTGGGGGAATTGCGGAAGCCTAAGTACTGTCTCTCCAGTTCTTTCCTGCCAGAGCCATTCTTCCTCTCAAGCCTGAAGCCAGAGGGCGGACCATGAAAGCTCTGGTTGGCATCACAGTGCTGAGCTGCATAAGGTGTGTGGCTGGATCAGGGAAGTATTTGATCGGGCAAGATGAAAGGTCAGGCGCCTACGAGGTGATGTTTGATGAAGAGAAGACCACCCTGGACTTGTCCAAGGACTGCTATCCTGGCAAAGTCTGCCCACCCGTGGTGGTGATGATCGGACGACAAGTTGGAACAATCGAAGTTTCCAACTGCCACGAGGGGGTCATGTACACCTTCATCAACAAGGGCGACCTAGATGCAGGTGTTGTGGTGCAGCATGAAGGTGGTCTGTATGGCTCTCGAGGTATTCCGCAGTTTGGCATGGGCAGCTGCTTTTGCTATCGTGAAGGCAATTTGATGTGTGGCTGACCGGCCCAAGGAGGCCAATGTATATATGTCATAGGGGAGGAAGATGGAAGATGTCAGCAGCGAGCAAGAGAAATGGGCAAGAAGGAAATTGCACCCTGTGTCCCTGTCCCTGCATGAAATTGTGCACAATTCACATCAGTTGAGGTGAGAGCTTGAGCGATCCGATCGCCTGTAGTGCAAACGGCAGCACAGCCAAGGTAGAAAGCATGTTCCATCCCCGACCTGTTGGCTGCCATAAGCCGTGGCAATACTTACTCCCTTCCGACATGCTGCTTGGATGTGGAACGGACCAGTCACCAACGTGAATGACATTTAAAATATTTTAAAGATAAAGTTTGGTGGGAACCTTTGGGCACTTTCGCTTTTGGCCATAGCAAACCAAAGCGGGCACAGACCAACACCCACATTGGCATCCTTTGCTTCCAAGGCTTTCAAGTTCAGGAATTTATACGACCTATGTCAAGAAGTCAGAAACAATCTGAAAACGATCCAAGAAGGTTCTATCATGTAGCTTAGATTCACAGTTTTGTTCCAAATTTGATCAACCGTTGCTTTGCCAGACCAACGCGGACCAACTGAGTCCGAATCCTGCAAACTGAGGCTGCAACTCTTGGAACTTTGGGAAGTGGTCGACTGAGGCCACAAATGCAGCCAAACCAAGTGATGGTATGAGACAGACTTTACAACAATACACGTAGAATTTGATTTGGGTGTGTCACGAAAGGTAGCGGTTACGCTACCTGAGTTGCCTTGCTTTAGCAATGTATTGGGGGTGGTCACGAGCTCCTGTGCTTGATTTCGGTCGTTTAAGAGTTGGTTTTAAATGTCGGGGGGGGGGCCGTTCGTTGGACAGTTCCGGACCATGCGGCACACAAGTAGTTAAAACAATACAAGACAACTTTTCACGCAACAACTTAGTTGGCCCCCCCCCATTCGACTCCACCCTGCGCCGCGGAGAATTTGGTAGTGATTTGAGCAGAAACAAGCAGCCAGCAGTAGCCGCACAGCAAAGCAGAAAGCAGCAGCAGTGGCACCAGTGGCAGCAGCAACGACAGCAACAGCAGCAGCAGCAAAGCACCAAAGCTCACACAAGTTTGGCCTCCACAACTCTTCGTTTTCGTTCAGTTTTTGGGGGGCTGCGCGGACGAAATTGAAAGAGGGGGGGACAGCAAAGCAGCAGCAGCAGCAGTCTTCAGGATTCAAGCAACAGCAGCAACCAGCAAGAAGTAGCAACAGCAACACCAGCAGGAGCAGCAGCAGCAACCAGCATGAGCAGCAACCAGCAGCAGCAGCAACCAGCAGCAGCAGTAACCAGCAGCAACAGCAATCAGCAGCAGCAAGCAGCAGCAGCAACCAGCAGCAGCAACAGCGGCAGCCAGCAGCAGCAGCAACAGCAGCAACCAGCAGCAGCAACCAGCAGCAGCAGCAGCAGCAGCAACCAGCAGCAGCAAGCAGCAGCAGCAGCAACCAGCAGCAGCAGCAGCAGCAACCAGCAGCAGCAGCAGCAGCAGCAGCAGCAAGCAGCAGCAGCAACCAGCAGCAGCAGCAGCAGCAGCAGCAGCAACCAGCAGCAGCAGCAGCAGCAGCAACCAGCAGCAGCAACCAGCAGCAGCAACCAGCAGCA